ACAACTACTATCAAACCCCTCAGAAATATATATTTTTCCTCACTGGCCATAGAGGTTAACATGATCGATGTGGGTGGTGTGTTGTCGTCTTCTTGTGGGTTTGGAAACGATGGTGGGACTTCTTCGTTTGACAAAGAAATTGTCAAAGATGGGATGTTCCTGATGTGAAAAGAAGATCATAGGGGTTGTAGTGGGTGGGACCAATGCTCTTTAATGTGATGAGGATATCGTGAGTATGTCTTTCAGCTTGTGGTTGATTTGGATGATCTCGACAACTAGAGATCAAATAGTGTGGTTGTCTTTCATTTGTTTATAATTCTAAAGTTGATTAATATTGTGGAAACATTGGTGAATGTTTTTTACAAACGAAGTTAATGATCTTTGAAGATCTAAGAGGTTCACAAATGGGGTGGTGAACTCTAGTGCATGGCTGGTATCTTGATGTTTCAGTCTTGCATCGAGGGTATATGTTGACGCTCTTATTCCCAATTTAGTGATAATGATAAAGTGAAATACATTTTAGAATTAGAATGTATACTTAAATTATGGGCCTCAGGCTTTATAGTTTGGTTCTAAGGTTTCTTAAACCTAGAAATTTTTGTTCGTGGACAATTGTCAACAAGGACATATGTCAAAAGACCTCATCCTTGTAGCATTTAACAGTCCTACTCCAATTGATTTCACTTGATCATGTGTCCTCCTAAGACACACGTCATAGATTCTCTAATGCTAAAATCTTTTTGTGAATAACTATCTTAAAAATGTTACATCATCGACCAGGTCTCATCAGAATTACGTCATTATTTATAATCATCGGCTTTGAAAGTTTATAAGTATTTTATGTTATTACTTCTATAAAGTTTTATTATTGAGTTGGATCAAAATCACATGAACAACCAAACCAAAACAAAAGACCACAGTAAGACTTACATTTCAAATATAAAAATATTTTGAGAATTTCTTTGTACACCTATTAGTGTTAATTTACACGTCTAAAAACTCGAAAATACCCTTCGAATATATACATCCGAACACACCTTGTGAATTTGAGATATTAGATTATTTCGGATATGCATATCCGAACGAACTCCTATATTTCATTTTCAGAGAGATTTCAGATATACATATCCGAAATCACCCAATATTCCAAATTTCTTTTGATTTTATTTTGAAAAGATATTTGTTTATAATATAATTATAATAGAATTAAATTGAGTTATTATTAATAAAAAATAACTTAAATTTATAATTGAAGACTAAATATTAAAGTAAATTTATAATATGAAATTAAACAATGAATACAATAATTAAATTTTTAATTATAATGGTGAAATGTAATTGTTTTTCAAATTTTTTTATTTTGAATTTTGAATAATTTTTTATAAAAAATATAAGAAATATTTTTTAATTATATTTTAAAAGTTAAATTTAATTTAGATGACATTTTTTTACTTTTTATTATAAAATTGATAATTAATTATTATATTTAGTTAGAAAATTTGTTATATTAAATAAATATTTTCATGTAAATAAATAATATTTTTCCATTTCTAACACACTAAAAATATTTAAAACTTATGTAAATAATTGATAAGGTAATACAATTAATATAATTGATTGTTAAAATATTTCGGATATGTATATTAAAAAATTCTTAAAGATAAAATATTTAGTTATTTCGGATATGTCTATTCGAAAACATCTTTAAAAAACTGAAATTGAATTTTTTTCGAATATACATATTCGAAAACTCTCTGAAAATAAAATATTAGATTATTTTAGATATACATATCTAAAAACACTTTTGAAAATTAAAATTTAATACGTTCGAATATGCACATCACAATTCTAAGAATATTTTGAATCTTTTACCAAAGGCGTACAATAAGTCTACTAGTTGTAAAAAAAATCTCCCATTTCAAACATATTAAGCGAATGTTTTTATATTGTATTAAATGTAAACATTGTCGAAGTTGTGTCTAAATACCATAATGTTTCGAATCTAGATACATTTTTTTCAAAATATAATCATAATTATTAAAATTAAAATTTTGTTTGGCGAAGACATATTTTTAACTTATAAACTGTTTATAAGTTCATATCTTAAAAAACCTTGCTTGATAACCATCATTTTCTTACAAATTTATAACTTATTTTTAATGATTTATAACTTTTTATAAGCTAATTTATACAACATAATTGAAGATATATAAATAAAAATTTATTATTATATTTTAAAATTTGAAGAGCATCTTATAAAAAAATGTTTTAAAAAAACCTAAAAAAAGTTAATGTTTAATAGCTATAAGAAACTGTTTATTAGCATATCCAGTTGTCAATTTATAGTTACCTAGAACAATGAAAGCATGCAAGCACTGTTCCAAATTCACCAAACTTAATTAATTAAACAAATCATCATTCATTTTTCTATATTTTGACTTCTGCACCTTTTAATAGTGAAGTTGAAGCTTTCACAGTAAAGTTTAAGCATTTATAACACTCTCGAAACTCAAACCCTTTTCTACTCCTCCACTGCAATGCATGTTACACCTTCAATGCACAAAACCACCTTTTCTTCAGATCATCACTTCCCAACACAGTAAACAAACACATCTAGAAAACCCTTTTCTTCCTCTCTGAAAAAACTCATTGCTGAAGAAAATTTGAAAGAAAAAAGAAAAAAATGAAGCATTCAACTTGTTTCTTGACTTTTTCTGTTCTGGTTATAGTGTTCAATGTGGTTAAAGGACAACCTCTTGTCCCTGCATTGTTCATATTTGGTGATTCTGTTGTTGATGCAGGAAATAACAACAACTTGTACTCAATAGTTAAATCAAATTTTCCTCCTTATGGAAGAGACTTCAAGAATCACATGCCAACAGGAAGGTTTTGTAATGGAAAACTTGCAACAGATTTTACAGGTATTTTGTTCCTCCTTCCTCAAATTCCTAGTTTTGTGTCAGACATCATCGCATGTGTGTTTAGATACATACATGTGCATGCATGCATATGTTGATCTATCAGTGTCGTATTTGATAGTCGTGTTTATATTTGATCATTGTTGAATGGTTTCACTGTTGCAGCGGAAAATCTTGGATTTACAACTTATCCACCAGCTTACCTCAACTTACAGGTTAAAGGAAACAACCTCTTGAATGGGGCAAACTTTGCATCCGGTGCTTCTGGTTACTATGGTCCTACAGCCAAACTATATGTAAATAAACATATATGCATTTTCATGTTTGAAACAAAATAAAAACTCTTCTTGTTTTCTACTTTATTTTGAATATATTGGTTAGTCGTGGTTTTTTTTTATATTTGTTTCATTTGGATCTAGCGTGCAATTCCATTGGACCAACAACTGGAACACTATAAAGAATGCCAGAATGTATTGGTGGGAGTAACAGGAACATCAAATGCTTCATCAATTATTTCTGATGCTATATATCTTGTTAGTGCTGGTAGCAGTGACTTTGTTCAAAACTATTACATAAATCCTCTACTTTACAAGGTTTACACTGCTGATCAATTCTCAGATATTGTCATGCAAGATTATATCGTTTTCATTCAGGTATACCGTATATGTCTTAACCTAATGTTTAACTATTTAGCCATGGTTTAACTCTATCAAATGGTCTTTAGAGGCCCTTTGTTGTTGTCTTCTTTGCACACCCTTATCACCAGCTCTAACTATTACGTAACTTACTGGAGTTTAATTTGACATTTCTAAATGGCAAACATGGATGTTATGTTACAGAGCTTATATGCACTTGGAGCAAGGAGAATCGGTGTAACAACATTACCTCCATTGGGTTGTTTGCCGGCCGCCATCACTCTTTTTGGCTCTAGTAGCAATGAATGTGTGGAGAGGCTGAACACTGATGCTGTTAACTTCAACAACAAGCTAAACATCACATCTCAGAATTTGCAAATATCACTTAGTAACCTTACATTGGCTGTCCTTGATATCTACCAACCTCTTCATGAACTTGTCACTAAGCCTGCAGAAAATGGTAAACTAGTAAACTACAAAGTTATGTACTTGTTTACAATTTGTTTCATCTTATTATCGACACGCTACTCTTTTCACAGGATTTTTCGAAGCAAGGAAGGCTTGTTGTGGAACTGGTTTGATAGAGACATCTATATTGTGCAACAAGGATTCCATAGGAACATGTGCAAATGCTAGTGAATATGTGTTTTGGGATGGTTTTCATCCTTCTGAGGCTGCAAACAAGGTTTTGGCTGATGGTTTGCTGCTTTCTGGCATCTCCCTCATTTCGTAATCCAACATTTTGGGTCATTATCCGCTCTATCTATTATGATTATTATTATTATTTTGCTTTCAAGTGTTGTGTGTGTGGCTGCTGCTGTTAAATGAGTTTGGCTTATGTATTAAGGAGTTTGAATATGATTAATTACAAAGCTCACTAGCTGTTTCATCATTGTAATAAGACCAAAGTTCTGGAGAGCTTTGTGTAAATTTCCTGTTTGAGTGTTCTAAGTTGTTGATGTTGGATTAGCCAAAATATTAACAAACTTTGACTAAAAAACGATGACTTCCATGTGTAGTAACAGCGATTAATAGTGAAAACCAAAAAGTAACAAACTAAGAATTTAAAAAATGGGGACTATGTGTAGCAACAGTGATTAATAGTGTGTTTGGAAAACAATTTTTTTCACCAACCTTATAATATGAAGGATGCAAGTCGACTTTTGAACATCTGCTTGGACAAATCTCATCATTTCTTAGCTGTGTATTGTGATCACATCTTTTCTCGCTTGAAGCTGTCGAGCCAAAGAAAATATACTTCCTGTTCTACTCTTAAAATCAAACAAAACATGACCATCTTGAAATAAACTTCATAATTTCTTTATATTGGGATTACTTAACTCTCAACGGCATAGTTAACTGAGGTTTCAGGAGTAAGTTAAACAATACTTGTCAAACCTACAAAGATTGTTTGGACAAGGATAATTTACAACATAATAAAGTAATTCTACTTGGAGAATTTGTGACAAATATCCAACAACTTTTTTACATCTGTCTCGCTTACAAGAAATTCAGCATTCCCGTTACTCTCAGCTTCCTCCCTTACAGCAGTCCACTGATTCACAATGCTGATTATTCTCATGAGCTGTTATTCCAAAGGTAAAGGGAAACAAGTAATAGAAAAGAAAAAAAAAAGACTAGTAATCTAAATACATAAAGAACTCGAGTGTTTTCATTGGCCTGCTTAAGAATTGCCTTTTAGTAACCAACATGGATGTTATAATCATATAATCATGACAGCATGCAAACTATAACTAGTAATAATTTGTCATTAAGTTACAGTTGATTCCTCTTGCAGTGATTTGCTTTGACTAGATAAAAGTGATATCAACATGGATTTATAATCATATAATCATGACAGCATGCAAACTAATGCAACATCTTTATTTATAAGAAACTGAAACCTCATTCTGATTCTTCATAAATTTCAATTCCTGTCACTCAAAGGGGGGCCTCAAAACAGCAAACAATAATAAACCCAAATAACTAAATGAGAAGGATACAGATGTGTTTCTAGTATCTGCTGTTGAGCCAGGGCTATAGTCAACACTTTGTTTGTTCAGAAGCTCATCTTCAATCAGATCAATTCTTCTGACAAGGACCGAAACGAAATGACATAAACTTGATGAGTTCATTTCAGTTCCGTGTATTCTGACCAATATTCTAGCAAGTACGGTCCAGACTGCATTTCTTGCCTCCAAATCATCCGAAGCAAAAGGAAATATATCAAGCAGACCACCTAAGAGGCTCCAATCTAGAAGGCACAATGTCATTTACCATTATACAAATACAACTAATCCAGGTACACCAAAAACAAACAAATATGTAGAGCATTATAGTTTATGGATGAGAATGAAAGATACATTGTTTACCTTGTGATATTTCAGAAGCACGATCAGCAACATCAGACAAAATATTTGCAATAAGAACTGCAGCAGTAACACAACAGTTCCCAACCTACAAGAGATATGACCAATACACCATTGTTTTTCAGTTATACAAATCATTTTCATTTCTTGTCAATCTATGAGAAGCACATAGTAAATAGAAAGGGGCATAAGAGCATGTAGGTCCCAAGATGACACTATTTCAGTTTTATCAGTAATATTAGTTCATACCATTTTCTAAATCAATTTCGAAACTAGGTGTTTGTTCTTTGAGAATTCATTTGATTTCCATGATACTTGGTCTTAATTTGGACGCCTGACTTAGTTGATGCACTGTGAGATTCACTGCTCAGTTGAATTTAGATTCAAGTATTAAAAAAATCTTCCATACCGAAGGAGGAAGACCATTTTAGTTCAAGTACAAGGAACAGTAACTTCAATTCTCAGCCACGCTAATATATTAAAAAAAAATGACTAATCATTAAAATTTGTACGATATACTTTAAGGTTGTTTTTTATGAGACATCATTGCGGCCTGTTTTTTCCCAAGGATCCATAATATTTGAACACCATATCCAATCTAGTCTCACCGTTCAAACCATTTATCAACAACTAATCATGACTAATAGAAAATTTGGAATATATGTGAGAAAATATCAAGTACACAGTACAACTGATGCTACTCGAGAGAGAGAACATAGCAAAGAAAAGCAAAACATTCTATCAATTGATGGGAAAAAAATATTCTTACTGTAAAAATATACAAGCTTGTGATGCATCTTGGAAGGGAAAAAATGTATTGCTTTTATTGGAGAAATCATTATAATATTTGCATGAGTTTTGTGAATATAGTTTTTCAGATTAAGGTACTCCTCAATATCTCAACCCCTAACATGGATGAAAAAAAAAAAAAAATTTATTGATATCAACAGTTAATGTAAACTAAATTGTGTCTCAAGGAAAGTTCTAACTAAAACAGTGCAGTACCTCTACTTTATCTGTGAACTTGACCAAGTCACATACTAGATGAAAAAGCTCTTTATTTGAACATATTTCCTGAGAATGATCATCTATAACAGAAAGGCCTTCAATTGCACGAAGAATTAAATCAAGAATTGAATACCTGAAATTTGAAGATATTATGTTGTCAAATCAAATTCAACAGAATGCCTTTTGCAACAACAAAAGTTCCACCAGACTGCTGGATGAAAAGTTACAAACATGTGTTGATGTGATCAGGATTGGCATCGGAATTCAGAAGATGATGGGAACGGTGTAATTTCATCGATGTAAAACAGAGAACTGTGGATTATTGTACCTTTCAGGCATTCTGTCACTCGTTAGTTTGCTTATCTCAAAAGTCAAGAGATTGATCAATATACTTGTCAAACCAAGCTTCATCATAGGTGGAAGAAGATCTTCCACAACTTTTTGCTGGCTTTCTAATATTGCTAAGATAAGCCCTGCAATCTGTTAAAGATTAAAATACTCTTAGCTATCGATTAGATGGAACTTGCATTCTGAATCAGAAAAAATGCCAAAACAAGTCATCAAAATAATCATATTACTTTTCCTTCCAAAAGTGTTTACGTCTAATGTTTCTAGTGCAATATTTCATTGCATGCTTTTCACAAAGTTCTGTTCAATATTTTAGTGCATATGCTTTTCAGAGTTCTGTGCAATATTACCTAGTTCAGTATCACCTCTATAAAGATCAAAAAAGTTGAAATTTTTATTAATACAGAATTACACTACCTTTTCTAAAAGCTGAAGGTTCAGAGTATTTTCTGCAATCCATAATATTTGACATAATACATGTTCGGACCGCAATGCCTCGGCCCAGGCAATAGATTCACCACTTTGAAGGCCCAAAGTCAATAATCTGCTTACACAACACGAGAAAAGTTTGTAATATAAAAAATAATTCTGACCAGAAAAAGTAGTGCGACACCTAGATTACAGCACAACACAAATAAAAGTTGGGGATACATAAATATATGAACTAATAAACATCATCCCTTCTTCCCATCTATTCAGGCTGGTATATCTCAGTGCATGTTCTTTTCCAGAATGAAATGTATGAGGGAAGAAGAAAATAGTTCACAGAAAGTGGATGAGATGAATCATGAGACAGCTTCTGAAGAAAATAACACAGAAACAGCAAAACTAGAACCTAGGAATTGAATCATGTAACAAAGCTAGCCAATATTTCTACATGTCTTGGAAGGAACCGGTAATAAAAATGCCATTAGCAGAATACCAAACAGTGGCTAAAATAATAACCCGGTGCAAAATAAGTCCAGAGAAAAACAAAAGCCCTTTAGAATTCTAGAATTTCCTCTCCAGACATATACGGTAAAGAATTGCAGAGACGGGGCTTTGCCACAAAATATTAGCTTTGTTGTGAACCAAAACTTCTGAAATCAACAGAAAGAAATTAATGTAAATCCCTAGGACAGATTTACTAATCACCAAAAATCTTACACGGCATACTCTATGAGTAGCTAAGAAATGGTTCAAAATAAGATACTCCCTAGTTGGTAAACTAGAATTACATATTAATAGACATTTTTGGGAGACAAAGCTATGAGATTCTATGTTTCTGTAACATGCCACTAATGTTTTGAGAATATTCCCTAAGGCTTGCATAACTCTCAAAGTTAGTTATGTTAGCTGTACAGGTGTGACTGACACCTGTCAGCTCATATTAAGATAACCTGCTACAGCAGGTGACACTTGGCAACTATAAATGAAAGTGGTGTAACAGAATTTGTAACTAACAATTCAGTGAAATGAAATTATTTGAAATGGATCTAAGAATCCACATTATAGCTAGTTGAGTTTCTAATGAATGTTACTGTGAATTACGTACGAAAAATAGTCCAAACATAAGATTTGACCAAATGTTTGGATATCTTAAAATGAACGGAGCATAATGGAAATGAGCGGAATGAAAAAGAGTGTCACGGAACAGCGGAATGGAGATCCCGTTCCATTGTTTGGGTATTTTATGATGGAACAAGGCAAGTTATCCATTACGCAATCAGAGGGGAAGAAATATGGTGGTAAGTAATGGAATGAAATGGAATTGAAAAGAAGTATGTGTGTATGATTTAGACATGATTAGAAGAAAGATGAAGAAATTCAGCATAAGTACTCAGTAACCTCACTAACAGGCAAGTCCATGAAAAAAAAACTCAAAAGGGAATGGCAGCCTGCTGTAGTGAGGCCAAAAAAAATTTTGTGTGATAACCATTGGCAGGAATAGAAAAGGCATAACTTTTTTTGGCCTTTAGACGAATTGGCAATAACCAACGGAAATTTACACACACAATTGTGAGGCATATGCCAATTGAGCTGAGCCTTATGGACATTGAAAAGGCAGAATTATATCAGAATGGAACGTGTACATATTTTCAAAAAATAAAAAGAAAAGAGACATAACATTTGATACTAGCAAGTGTTTCTTTCTCTCAGTAATAAACTAATAATGCTTACAGAAGCAGAGGATAAAAAAACAGTGAGAACAATATGGAAATAGTAACCAATCACCTAACTTGGTTCCTTAAAAAATGAAAGTGAAAAGAACTACATCTACATGTGTCAAAGAAGCGTCATACCTAGATGTTTCACATAGGCATTGAGGATCATCCAGAAATAATTTATCCACAATCATCTCAATCAATCCTTTAGTCGAGACTATATGTTTCATTAGAACTTCGTGGCAGGCAAGGTTCCCAATAATTCCTATGCTAATCTCCTGCAGAATGTAATTAATACAAAAAATATGTAATGAAGTAACATCTGGTCTTCTAATCACCTGATAACTTTATTCTCACAAACCATTAAAAGAATGCAATCTGAATCATGGTACATATTTATACATTGACTTACATTAACACGCATGGATTTGCAATCAACAAGATTTGCTAAAAGAACTTCAAGTATGAGATTCTCCACCTACATGATTAAACCACATAATCATCTCATTTTAGTTTTTACAACTTTTAAAGGTTGAAAGGCATAAAACAATGACAACCGAAATGTGTTTAGACCTCAGGTGAGAAAAAAGTTGCCATGATGTTTCTATACCAATGATAGGATGCTTGATTGAAATACAAGAGAATTCAAATAGAGTAATACCATGAGTTCCGCATGTGTTTTACTCGCAGCCAAGTCCCACAAAACACAACCATTTTCTTCCCATGCGTCCTCTCCAATCGAGGCACCGGAATGTTCAAATCCACCGCCATTATCTTTATACTCTCCTCCCGTGCGAGAAGATTCACGGGAAACATCAACATCCATATTTTCAGATTTATTCTTTGATGATTCAAACTGTTGATCATTACAAATTGATGCACATGGAGCACCCCCTTTGTTAGGGACATCCGAAACAACTCCATGAGCAGAAGCAGAATCCGAAGGCAAAAGCTTCCTTATCAAGGAGATTATATAACTGGGATCAACAGTTGTTGATAAATCAAAAAACTGCATCAGCAATTTCAAAACAATTACTCGATAAGAATTTAAACAAACAAAAAAAGCGCCAAATATTGCAATCGTGTTTCCATTTGAAGTTACCTCGTGTGACGGTGCAGTAGGATGATGCGTGGGACCTTCGTGCTCTTCTTCGATGGCTGGATTGGCCGGAACCGCCATGCGCTTCGCTTTGTCTTTTTGCTTGTTCCCTCCAATTTTAAGCTACGGGAGAGTGAGAAGTCGAGACTCTGTTGCTTGAATTGAATTTGCTACCTCGATTAGGGTGTGTAGGGTAACACCGAATAATAAAGAGATTTAAGTTTATAAAAATATAAATAGAAGTCAAATGAGCAATAAGTTCGGTCGCTTAGATGGTACAATTAATCCTCTTAAAAAGTATATTTATAGATTTAGGAGATACAACATTGTTATTCATAAGTATTTAAACTCTCGGTAAAAGATCAATTCTTTTTTGTGCTAGAAAATCAAGAGTGTCAAATGTAAATGATATAAAAGCATATTGATTGTGAGAACATGTTTTCTCGTGTTTGACTATTTTTCTTAAAACAGCTTTGAGAGCTGTTTGTCTCACGGTAAAACCATCAACCATCAATTCCACCGATGGGGAAACTACAGTCAAGTCCACACAAGCATGTTTTCCACCTATCCACTCGTACACTAAAACATTTGTTAGCCTAAGTGTTTATCTCTCCTCAAGTGGATCAGTCAAAAAATTCACAGACGTTTCGTTCTTCACATATACTCTAACACGTTGAAATGTTACCAATCAGTTGTTTACCGTGAATTTTGATAAACAACTGCTAATCTTCCGAATCTAATGTTTTGGTTACTCACTGGATCGACTATAATGATCCTAAGACATATGTGTTTAGTATTTCTTAAGTTTTCTTTGTAATAATCACTTCGATATTAACCGGAGTTTTAAAAGTAATGCAAGAATGATTGATAAACAGTATAGGTGATGGGAAAATGGCAAGTGTACTATTTTGTCTTGCAGTAATAGTGGGGAAATTTCCCTAGATATCGATCTCGAGGACTACGTGCAATTATCGAGTTAAGTTCGTAATTCAATTAAACAAAACTTGATTTGGGGTTTTGGTTGTGAAATTTTCACTTAACAAATAGCAGGAATATAAAGTGGCTTTTCACTTATATGAGGAGCGTGCTAGAGGTAGGTGTGTGATTTGACCGTGTAATAATCTTTACTCTTGATCTCTTCAACAAGTTTATTACCTTCAACTATCGAATCTTTAGTTTGTTTCCCCTAAATTTTTAGTGGGAAAACCTTTGATCTTTCATCCTAGTACCTAAGTCCTTAGTGAATTATGATGAAACCAAGCAGATATGTTATCAAGATTTTATTGGTGACATATAGGGTATCTCTAGTCCTAAGTGATATTTATTATAGTTTAATTGTTCAAAAACCTTAACATTGGCAGTCCAGCCCTAATTGTTAACAGTGGATCAGTCCATATTTGTCCGATAGAAAATGCATAAGAACATTAAACAATTAAATCGAAAAGAAACTATTGTATCAAAATCAAAAATTAAAAATCAATACATTTGCAAATCAGGGACACCCCCTAACATTAGGGAGTTTAGCTACTCATATTGTTCAAAGTAATTTCAGAATAAAAATTAAACATTACACATAGATAGTAAATTTTGATCTTCAATCGCTTTCGCTCATGAAAGGTCTTTGTTCTCCAACACTTACGTAGGCTTCAATTTTCAATCCTCAATTCTTCGTCTGGTAAAAAGTTCATGTTTTCATCGTGGAAACTTGGCTAAATAGTGAATAATTCATTTGTCTCAGTCTGAAATGCCAAAACGCCCCTTTGGGTCACAAATAGTAAAAAATAAGAAAAACATGAAGAATCAGCGTCACTGGCCAACACGGGCGCCCGTGTTGGCCCTCAGGAATTTATTTTCTCTTTTCAGCTACAGGCCTGCTGAAAAAATTCATCTGTCAATCCTATGCATTTGAGGTCTTTTGAACTTGTTGAATGGGTCAAGACAAAGTCATTGGATCCTTGAGTCCATATGTGAGCTTGGTTTGCCATTGGTTAGGTCAAACAGTCAAAAATCGCCTTTGTGCAGTCAAAACCCTAAAAATGACCATTTTGCCCTTTTGGTGATTTGATCAGATTTCTTATGGAATTGTGGTCCAAACTTGATCAAATGATTCATATGAGTTCATAATGTTGATGTGGATCAAATTTCATGAGGTTTGACTGTCAATTGGCCACAGTTGACTTTTTCCCCAATACAGCTGATTTATAGGTCAACTGTCCAATTGACTGGGCAAAACTTTGAGTCAAAGCCTGAAACTTGGCAAGGACAAACTTGTGAGTACAACATGAAGTATGAAAGTCACTTTGGGAATTTTAGGTCAAAACATCCCTGTGCAAACTCAAACCCCAATTTAGGTCAACAGTGCAAGGAGGGGTCTTGAGCAGAACAAACCCTAGCTTGATTTTGAGTTTCAAGAGTCTTGTGATGAGAAAGTGTTGATGAAATGAGAGGGCAAATTTTGGGGTACAACACGTCCCACTAACATTCCACTTGTCACTCAAAAGAAACGGAATTTTTTCCCTTTTCCCTCTATAAATGCTCTTCATCTTCATCATTCTAACCTTTTCTGCTTTTAATTTTTAAAGCTTTATTTCTTCTGAAATTTTTCTCTAAAAACCTTACCAATAGATACAACAACTTCAGATTTCTCTACAATGGTGCCTACGAAATCCAACACCGCCAAAGCTAATAAGAGCCAGAAAGAAACTCTTACACCTGCAAACTAGATTTCCAAACCAACGCAAATAGGGAACCAAGAGTATGTTCCTGAACCACCATTGCTTGAAGAGAAATGTAAGATCTTCCAATCCCAAATATTTATCCCTTTTACTATTGCTGGTGAAACCCGCGCATATATGGATCCTTTACTTGATACTGATGCTGATATTGAAAAACTCAAGGATTTTTTTCCAACTTATCATCGTACTAAACTCATAGCTAGCGAGAAGAAAACAATAGCTAGTAATGTAGATGTTATTGTTAAAACAGACCCTAAAACACAAACCAGATCTCATACTTAGGCAAAGTCTTCGACTGAAGCCTCGGAAGTAGGAAAAACCCTTCAGCTTATATTATATGACCTATGGTATTAAAGCGTTTTTATCTTCTTCTTTATCTAAATAACCTGGTGTTGTACCCCAAAATTTTCCCTCTCTATTTCAACTCTAATTGGTCAATTTCTTCACATTCATGTGCAGCTATCATTTAGGTCATTTGTTTCATAATCATGCATAGCCTTGGCTTCTAATCCATGGTATCATAGCTTCTTTGTTCAAAGGAAATGATTTGTTTCTCAAGATAACAAGCATTGGTTTATCATCATCATCAAGGCATAAGGATCCTTTTCTTCTTCAAGAAGGTCCAAATGCAGGGGTTTCATTATTGGTTCATCAGGAGATTGAGATGAATTAAGGTTTTAACCCTATTAAACACCTCAAGTAATTATGAGATGAAGTTAGGGATATCAAAAATCCAAGTTATCATTTGATCAAGTTTCTTGTCCATCAAGGTTCATTGTATTTGAAGATTAGGGTTTTGGCTTTCATCAAGTGAAAATCGGGATTTAGAGTTTCTAAATTGAACTTCAAGATGCATCATTCAAAGAATCATCAAGATCGTCACTCAACAGTCCTCAAAATAATTTAATATGCTTAACATTAGTCTAAGATTCTAGGATTTTGTTGGTTTTGAAAGAACTTGATTCATTTGAAAAATTCAACATAAACGCCTAAAAGCCAAACTTTGACTTTAGGACATTTTGGTCAACCATGGTCATGTGAATTCAAGTTTCAAGAAAATATGGAAGGTGGCTGAATTTGATCAAGAGGAATCATGAAAATCAAGAAAGTTTGGAATTTTGTTCAAATTGGAAAATTTTAGAATTTTTTAAGTGTCAAAAATCATGTTCAAGTAGCCAACTTTCCAAGGTTATAACTTCCTCCTCAAGCATCCATTTTGATGAAACAAGGGCTACAATTTAAAATTTCATATGATACTACATCACGGCAAATATTTTGGATCCAAAAGCATTTCTCAATTGCTTATAGCAACAGGGAAAAATGAGATGTCAAATTATGACATTGTCAAAACACTTAATTTTTTCTAAGTGTCAAAAATCATGTTCAAGTAGCCAACTTTCCAAGGTTATAACTTCCTCATCAAGCATCCATTTTGAGCAAACAAGGGATACAATTCAAGATTTCATATGATACTACATCATGGTGAAAGGTTTGGATTCAAAATAACTCCTCAATTACTCATAGCAATAGGGCAAATGAGATGTCAAATTATTAAAATTTGCCAAGACACTTAGAATTTTTTCTAAGTGTCAAACAGTCTCAACATTGATTTTTGATGGCCATTTTTCTCCATGATCTAAGATGATTCAATATAAATGTTCAACATCAAAGTTGAAGTTCATTATCCCATCTTTCCATTGATACCAAGGGCAAATATTTTTGTTGCTTGAGCATGAATATACGATGGAGGGAAGTAGCCATGGTGGGACTGCACTATTGGTCAGAATTAAGGTCTGAAACATATCCAAACCTTGTTTCGTGCACTTGTACCCAAAATAAACTCTACCATATGCTTTGTACCAATCATTTTCCTATTGCATAGCATGCTAATTTCTTTTTCACATTACACTATAAACATTGCCCTCAACCTACCACAAGTGTTGCTATCACTTTTTCAAGAATGACAAAAAATGGACATTGGCCAAAACTTGAGGAAAACTTGCAAAATTAGTTTCACTCTGATCACACTTCATCTAAGCCTTAGAAACAAACTTGTCCCAACCTTAAAAGCACCTTCAAACCTCACCATTATCCATCAATACCTCACTTGTCATCTTATGCATTTTGGATCCATTTCAAGTTTATGACCAAACTATCAAACCCCAAGCCTACAATTTTATCCCAATACATTACCTTAGTGTAAATGAACCCTCTATAAAATCCAATTTGAGCCCATTGCATCAATACACAAAAATCACCTTCAAAACTCTATTTTTGAACCTTCCAAACCAAAATTTTGAAACTCCTTCCTCACTCAACCTTCCTCCATTTTTCTTTCATATTCAC